TAGCAGCACTATCAACAAACTTCTGTACAAGCTTTTTTGTTTCATTAGGGAAATTGCATGCCTGTTTCTACACCAACATTTAAACAAAAACTATCCAACTAACAGGCTATTTAAAAACCGGTATTATTAAGTCACCCAGACAACTAAAACAGATGCAATCAATTCCAAACATGTTCTTCTACTGAACACACCTATGTTCAAAGGGGCTGCATGCTTTACTCCCCAGGTAGGCATTAAACCACCCTGAGCAGATGGACTGACAACAGCGTTTTTGCACTGAAGAGTATTTTGGATGACTACTTAATTCTGCTCTCACCCAAAGCCTCATTCAACACTGCGCCTATCTGTGCTTCTGGGAAAGTTGATAACTTACCACAAACGCTCTAATTCTGCCACTCTGCAAGTAACTGCCCAAAGGCCTGGCTCTGTTAGCAGCCTTAGCTACGGCAGCCTTTGCCTCTCGACAGGGGGGATACGAGAGCTCTAATGAAACACAGCAGGGCTAGGCCTTTCCTTCAGAAAAACTTCACTCGAGGTTTTGGGGTTTTTTATGAATTCCTCCTACTCCTCCCCAAATTTCCCAGCCTGGAACAGAAGCCTCTGTTTATTATTTTACCTGGTAGCACAAAAGAAGACCTGAACAACCAAAGAATCTAAGAACACAATCAAATTAAATTAAAATGAGATTTTATGTTGAATTACATTTTACAAATAATCTGCTCCTGAAGGAAACTCCAGAGGCATGCCAAGGTACTTTTCCTCCAAAAACAACAAACAAAACCACACCAAACACTTCCCATCTGCTGAATGGCTCTATTTAACTAACTACAAATATGGAAACTACCAGAAATTACCCAAGTGGGTACAGTGCTGATGCAAGGCAGCATTTCAAACTTCTTTTAAGCTTCACGTAACTGCTGTTACAGGATCACAGGAAGTATTTTATTTCTGCCCCCATGACTCAGGAGTAAACAGAAAAGCTTCATCATTACTACTGCTCAGCCACCCTCTCAAAGTGCATTTCCCACTTAGACGTCACCTCTGAATTTGCCCCCTCAAGAAAATCTGGGAAAAGTATGATACTAGTAATTAGCTGCATTTCTAAAATTCAACTAGAGTGACTTGTGGCATATATGAAAACAAGAGATCTGTAAACTCGTAATGTTTAATCTGAAAGTCTACAGAGCCTGATGTTCAAGTGCCATGCAAGAAGAGTTTCCTGTGAAACCGATTGCCTTGATAGTCAAGATCTCAAAGCCATATTTAAATCTTAGTGTAATACTCTAGATGAATATACAGATATTTAAACTGTCACTGCGGTTACATTTTCATACACAACTTTGTCATGGTTTAGATTTTGGGGGGTCTCAACAATATACTTTTGATTTTGTAATTTGATAATATAAAATCCTTCCATGTTCAACCGATCAAAAAAATGTTTACAGGAAGCATGGTCGTCTAGCCTATTTGGGAGAACGAATGATCTCTATCCAAAAGTAAATAAGGGGTTATCAGTGAAGAAAGCCTGTACAACAGAAAGGTTAAGATATGTAATATGTATATTTAGGTTTCAACTTTAAGAATATTAAACTAATTTCAACAGTTCAGCGTGTCTCAAAACCTGGGATGCAATCTTCAGAAGGGCACAGTGTACTGGAGTCACAGTTCATTATAAACACTAGATGGCATCAAAGCCCTCTTTTACGAGCACGCCTCAGGCCAGGACTCCCTAGTCACTGCTGCACTGTCCTGATGTGCACACACCCCACCAGCACAAGCCCTGGCACAAGCTGGAGCTGCAGCAGCTGTGGCAGAGGTCAGCAGCATCTGAACAAGCCGGAAACATCCACTCTGAAGTCACCTCTTAATATGCAGTATTTTTATAGAGTATGTGTATTTTAAAGTCTGGTGAAAGTGAAGCATAAAAGTTATCTGCTAGGAAACTAAATACAGCGTGTGCTGAGAAATGGAAGGAAAAAGGAAAAAAACAAACAAAAACCCAAAGGATCTCTGTATGCAGGACAGGAGCAATTTTTGGTGTTGCAGGAGTGAAAAAGTAGTAATATTTGCTGTTGAAATTGTTATAAACAGGGGCATCCTACAAGGAGAGGGGTTTCTTTATAGTTAAGTACAATTCTGAATTGGTTTTGGTTTGTTTTTTAAAACCCATGCAGCTATGAAGTACAAGGTCCCTGTGGTCTGATACCATTACAAAATAATACAGGTTACCCAAGGGTCTGCTGGGCAACATTAAACAAACCTCGTTCTACGCAGGAGGTTGTTCAAAGCTTTATCTTTGCTTTATTGGAGTGGTGGAGTTTAAAAAAAAAAAAAAAATCCGCAACCCTTTTAGAGTTTCTGTTAGCTCCCTGCAGTCCACTGGGACTGTCTGAAGTTACACTTTCAGGTACATATAGATACGCTGGCATTTAGGTTAGCTTTCAAAAAAACAGCACTGTTAAAATTAAGGTTCTTGAACACTTACTTAAGTGCAGCAGTAAGGCAGTTCAGATTAATGTTTTAATAAGCATCAGTCTTGAGACACAGTAAAATCTGTTTTGGTTCCACTGATGGGAAGACAGAAAAACACCCCCAGAAAGAGCCTTAGAAGGCTAAACACATGCACAGATCCACTTCTTGGCCTTGTGATGAATTACCCCTCCTTTCTGGGAGTGTGAAAGACAAGTGTATGTGTTAGTTCTTTGATGCTACTTTGAAATTGTGCTTAAGTAATGTTGTATTAAAAGTTGACAACTGATTTTGTTCATGGCTTGTCACTGGACTCTTCAGGCAGGTCTCAGAAGTCCAGTTCTGTATTCCATAATAAAGCAGAAGTGAGCAAAAATGTAAGCAGCACAGATTGGGGGGCAGGGAGGGGGAAGGGGGAAGGAACAGACATGGGATGGGACAGGACACTAGAAAGAAAATGGATCACATTTTTGAGTTAGTATTCTCATCTATTTGGCTTTAAGAAAGTGTTCTTCTGGAGTGAAGCAAAAAAAAAAAAAAAAAAGTATTTTTCTTCCCAAGCAACACAGCAAGTCAAAAAGTACAATTGCAACTGCTTTACGGAGTGAGCACAACACCGATGGAAAGACTGTAGACAGTTCCCCAGTTTCCCCACACACTCGGCCCAGCCCTGTGCCTGGTCCAGGTCCCATCCTTCAGCTAACACCAAAGCTGGACAGATGCGCACCCTGTCCCAGCACTATGCCACTAGATGGGAGAATGAAGACACCATTCAACACTCCTCTTCTACTATGGCAGATGTGCAGCTTCTCCACCAGTGCTTTTCACATAGACAGCAGCAGCTGTGTCCTTGTCAAACCCAAAGCAAGAGTCTTTTCTTCCCAAGGCAGTGATTTGCCACCCCCAACCTACTACATCCATACAATGTTTAAAGACACCTTTGCAAGGGCTTCTTGTTAAAAGAGCTAACAAGAAAGCTAGTATACCAAGTGCAATGTTTTGGGTTGTTGGGTTTTTGTTGTTGTTGGTTGTTTGTTTTTCAAGTAGTTTGATGTCTAAACAATCAAGCCCTTGACATGAAGTATAAGATACACAGCAGCTGTTCTCTAGACAGTACTATATGCTGGAGGCCTGAGCTTAAGGAGGTAGGTCTTCACAGAACACAAACACTGTGTTTTAACAGTGAAAGTATTGAAATTTCAGTACAAGGGAAAAGGGAAACTATCCTTTCTGCCTACCTGTATGGCTAGAAGAGGTGGGACAGGAGGAATGGCAACTATCAAAGTTAAACATAAAAACTACACCTTCTACCTTATTTTCCTAACCTTATTTCAGCTGCACCAACACCCTGACATTCCCATGTTATTTCCTTCCAAAACACATTTGATGTAGAAGACATACCTTAGGGATGTAGTATTTTATGAACTGTAGACTGCAGCTACTGCACATGTAAACTACTGCTGAGTCAAATTAACATTTGATTTTCTATTTAGAACAGACTAATTGTGCTTTCCGTGGTCGCTTTTTTTAGCGCGAATGCTTCTCCTGCAAGACTTAAGTAGCAGCAGAGTGCTGCGATACCAAAAAGCAAAGATTCCTCTACTCTACGAAGAGCAGGAACTTCATAAGCCGTTCAGTTTAGAGAACTGAATGCAACACAACAGTGGTCTTAACCTTCCCTTCAAGTTTCTACTACTTTAACTACAATTCAGTTTAGAGAACTGAACGCAACACAACAGTGGTCTTAACCTTCAAGTTTCTACTACTTTAACTACACTACACATTACTAGGAAAAAAAAAAAAAAAAAAACCAAACTGAAGTGAAAACACCACCTGAAAAGAAAAATGGAAATTAGTATCTGTGCTGTGTGTAAACAAATTTTAAGTCTGCATGATACTCAACTTCTTAATGGCCACTTTCATAGTAACCTGAATACTAAGCTCCCTCATATGCACTACTTATTTTAAACCACTGGCCTTGATCTAATGTAAGCTGCAATTCATGTGAGTGGAGGTGCGCAGAGTCTTTTTCAGGTTCCAGACACAAGTTGTACATACTGTAGCAGCAAGGGTATCTTCCTAAGTTTCAAAGTCTGATATCTGAACTATGTATGAAAAAGAAATGCCTCTTCAAATCATGTATAGGCAGCAGACTGAAACACCATCCTTGGCTTACTATCACATATTAAGAGCAAGTTTGGAAGGCCACCTAATGCCCAGGCTGTAGACAACCACAGAAGAGCTTGCAGTGAGCATTGATTTATTTCTGTATCAACAGATCACCAGCAGGAGAACTGAAGGAGAAAACTGGAGACAGTGAATCCATTCCTGATAAACAGAAAAAAAAAAAAAGTACTAAAGCAATCAGAATAGGAAAAAGGTAAAAGTGCAGGTACTGACATTTCTGTTACCCTCAGCCTACACAAAGAAGTTTACAGAAAGTGACTCAAAAAGAGTAAGTCATGACATGCTTAAATTTAGCTAAAGAATTATGCGGATTAGTGAACTGCAAGACAGCATACACAGATTACCTGAAGATTTATTCAGCTTTGCTGAAAATACAGCAGTAGGTTTTTCCTTTTCTTTAACAGAAGCAGCTTCTCGCTCAGCTTCTTTCTCAAAAGCTTCCGGTTTTACTACACTGACTGTTTCTCTTTCAGCAGGTAAAGGCGAGGTATCTGTGGCCAGTAAGGACATCATGGATACTTCAGGCACTTCTCTGTCCACAGCCTCCAAGGACTTTTTCAAGGCATTAGTATCTTCCTCAGCTTTTACTTCTACATTCCTTATAGACAGATCACAGGGTAGCTCTGGGCAAGGCAACTGCCTCTTCTCACCTTTGATCGCCTTACTGATCTCTTCACTTTCATCTTTGTGCATTACTTCTTTGTCAATGGCTGCTGCCACAAACTCAGGAGCAGTTTTAGGATGAGCTAACATCACAAAGTCTTCTTCCACTGGGACTGGGGAAGACTCCATGGATGAGAGCACTTTGTTGTCTCCTGTTTTTGGTTCCGTAGCAACAGACACATCAGATGAATAAGCCATAGTATTCAGCTCTTCCATTTGAAGAGGAATCTTCTCTGCCTTGGCTATTTTTGTAGGTGTTGGCTCAGATGGCAGAGCAGCAACAATTTTGGAAGAGTCCAGCTCAGGTTGGAAAGACTCCAGATAAGGCTTGCCTGTGGCAGCTACTGAATCCACCAGTCCTTCTTCATGTTCATCATCAGTTACAACATTCTCAGTTGATTTACTTTTTAAGATGAGAGATGGATCTTCACTCACTTTCTCAGTAAATTCAGGTATCACCTGGCTATTAAACAAGTCAGATTTTCCAAACTGAGGGGAGAGTTTTTCAACAAGTTCCTTGTGTTCAGGCTCATCCTGAGAAATGCATTCTGTTATTGGTGTCTTTGAATAATCTGTAAAGGATGGAGAAACTGATTCACCAGAGACCTTTGTTTCCTTAATTAGGTCACATGCAATAGATATATATGGAGTCTCTGTATCTTCAGGACTGGCACTACCCTCATGATCAGGTTTTTTAAATGCTACTGCCTCTTTTGCTTCTTGGGCCTGTGTCAGGGGTACATTCACTGCCTCTTGGTATAAGGGAGGTTTTTCAGTCTCTTCTTTTACATTCTCATAATTAGCAGTAGGGATAAATGTTTCTAATGGGGAAGCTTCAAGCTGCACAGCAGATGCTTCTGCACCAGCAGTCCCAGTGCTCAGTGGGGCTTCCATAACAATATCGGGCAATATTGGTGATGGAGCAGCTTCTGACCCTTCAAATGAGGGACAGAGTTGTGTCACGGGTTTCAGAGTCTCTTGTACTGACTCAGAGGTTTGAACTAAATCAATCTTCGTTTCATAAGCAAGTTTTGTACATGCCACATCATGCATTTCACTTTCATATGCTTCTTGTACTAGATCAGGAGTAAGACCTTCAGGCATATTTGCTGCAGTGTCAGATGGCACTGTTGATATACTCTCTGTTTTAGCATAGTCAGCTTCCTGGCCTTCCTGCTTGCCAACTGCTCGAGTGCTAAAATCACCTTGTTCTGTGCTCGTCTGAGCTTTCATTTCTGCGATTTTTTTCTCATCATCAGTTCTATTTTCTGAAGTGCCTTCCTCTAGTGGGGAAAGAGATTTGACTTTGTTACCATCAGGACTTATAGAGGATTCAAATTTAGTACAAGTGATGTAAGTCTGAGAAGGTTCTTTTACAGCTTCCGGGGTACTTGGGAAAGAGAGATCTTCAGTACTGCCCTCACTCTCTCTTTCATAATCCTTCTGCACATACAGCTTGTCTACAGCATATTTCCCATCTAAACTGCTTTCTAGTTTGGCATCTACCTTACTTCCAACATCCTCTCTTACGCTGCTCAGTCTGGGACTAGCACCTTTTACTTCCCATATTGGCTCAAATGGTTTGAAGTCTGCATATTCTTCCCTCCTAAGAGGGTCTTCTTTCAATGCCCCTTTTTCACCGTGATCACCACCTCTGTATTTGTCTTTGTTATAAAAGAGATCTTCCTCATTTTTCTCAAACAAATCTTGAGGAGTTTCTGGAGACATTTTCAGCTGCTCTGCAGGCATTTTCTCCAGATTAAGTAATTCTTTAGGGCCCTCTAGCTGTGTTTCTTCTTTAGCTTGAGATAAAATGGCTGCTTCTGCTTTAGGAAATGGGGGTTCTGAGTATTTCATTTCTGAAATGTCTCTTTCATTTCCCTCTGTAAGAAATGGATTTCTTGCCTTTTCCATAGTTTCTTTATAAACCTCACTTGCATTTTCCTTGTAAATGCCTCTTGCAGGTAATCCATCTGAGAGTGTTTCAAAGGCTGAGTGCTCTTTAAAGGGATCAGCTGAGATAGGAGAGAAGGAGGGAAGAGAAGGAGCAGTATCAAGCGGGACTGCAGTAAAATCCTCTTGACAAAGCGACTTAGTGCTAACTGGCTGCTCCTGCAAGTCCATAACTTTTTCTGTTACCGTGGACAGAAAGGAAAGTTAGAGAATGCAAGTGCTCTTAAAGTCAATGCAAACTTTCATGACAGGTTCACGTGATGTTAATTATTAAGAGGTTCTTCCAAGTTCTATCAAAAATACTATTAGCCATTAAAACAAAGTATCAGTTAAAGTACACTATACTATTTCACTTCTTCTAGCAGAGAAGTATGCAAGAGGCTAGAGAAGCAGCAACTTTTATGCAGCGCAAAGATCACAGTAAAGCTGAAGATGCCAGACAAGTACAGAGCATCCAAGTATAGCAGGCAATATTAATAAAGTGAGAGAGGTAGGGTGGGGTGGGAAGGTGAGACAGATAGAGGGTATGTGTTTATGCTTATGCATAAACATATGCACAAACGTGCATCATGCCACTAAGTAGTCTTTTTTTGAAACTTTTAAAATGGGAATTTGGTGGGCAGTGTAGCTGACAAAAAACACTAAATAAATACTACAGGGACAAATTTTACTTGTATAAAATACTGCAGAAAGTTACTATGGATTAAATCTTTCTGCTAAATCAGTAAAGCAACTATGCTTTAATGTGTTAACCTGTTAATAGCATCAACTTCTCTCCTACATCAAGGGTCCAAGAATTCACAGATGGTTGTAGCTTGTTTATAAGACAGTTTACCATGTAAAGAAATGAATGTGTATTAAAATCTTGAACAGATCAACTGAAAAGTCAAAACTGAAAAATGGAATAGAGGCTATTCTTGGACCCATGCTGACTTTTAGTACAGGCAGACTAATAGAAATAGTTAATGAGATCAGATCAGAAATGCAGGATGTATTCAGACAAAGGTGAGCAGAAAGAACTTGCCTGCAGAGGAGTGCATCAGAGGCGCAGATGTAGCAGGAAGAGCAAAAAGGGTCTCATCTGAAAAACAAACAAATAACCTCAGCAGAAATAAAGGCTAGGTTGAAGACGGGAGAAAGCACGCAAGTAGTCAGTTCCCAGTAAATCAAACAGATCCATAGCCAACACCTACACCCACAGAGAACCACAGAACCAGATACAAGCCTGGAAATTTGGGAGATTTGGGAAATTTGAGGTAACGCTCGGAATTCTCCATTTACAATGGGATCTTTACTGAGGCAACTGAGGGGCGCCTCCACCCTCCAAGCCAGGGACCAATCTTAGGGTAAGATACACCGCAGTAACTACTCTTTATTTTCGTTCTCCAAGCTTCCACACTACTGACCAGCTACAGCGTCTCTAGCATGAGACAGAACACCTGCCATTGCCACCGACACACTGTCCTTAATCAGCTCCCTTTGTCCAGAGGGTCTCCTAACGCAGACTAACTTGTGTGAGAAAAGCAGTGTGATAAGGAGACTAAACCAAAAACTGTGAAAAGTTAAAATGACTAAAGTAAACTTTGAAACTCCACACAGACCACAGATCAAACTGGTAACAGTAAATGACTGCACTATTTGCTTTATGTTTATACCTTTACTATTTTTGCTGTGTTATAAGGTATACAAGCTTCCAAATGAAGGCATTATTTTTAAAGTCTCCTTTTACATGATCCAAGGAGCATGTTTTGCTTTGCTGAATTTGTTTTAACCCTAATATTTCACAAGACAATCCCAGCTCTCCAGTTTCCACTCAAAGAACCAAGGAAATATAAGGAAGGACACCCTTTTCCTAAGCTAAGAAGTCACCCTCCTTCACTAATGCACAATGGCAAGAAGCCAGACTATCCCAGTTTCATATTGCACGTTATCTGAAGTAAAAGCATATAACTATGACATTTTACTAAGCTGCATAAAGCATTTAATGAAAAAACAGTCTAGAAGCACCAATACCGGCCATCATTAGGAACCAGGCAAATCAAAACCAGTCCTTCTCTGGATTTCTGTGTCAGCAGCAGTATTTGTCCCAGGTCCATTGTGGCCTGTTGGCATTACATTAATGTAAAAAACAGTAACATTTAGGTAAATATATTTCATTCTGAAGAGTGCATAAAGGTTTCAAATTGAGGCTGTTAAATAATACTTGCAATTTACATCAGTTGTATTAGCAAAGTGCAAAATTATATTACAGCATTTCAATTAGATTTTGAATTTCCAGTACAGGCATCAGGCATGTTTAGTTTTGTTATTTGCCTGGACAAAATTAACTATAAGAACTTTTTTTTTTTTAATTAAAAGCAAAAAAAATTAGAAGCCATTGATTTGAACAGATGAAAGGCAAAAAATGAGAAATATGGTAGACCCAGCAGTACACACATAATAGTCCAGTAAAGCAAGGCATTAAGGTAATTTTTATTTCGGCATTGAAACATGACTTTCTGCAAAAGCAACGCCACTTCAGGATACTTATGACCTGTCTGGCTTACTCAATTTAATCCCACCAGCAGTTTTCCAAAAATCAAGTCTCCTCACAACCTACATTTCCTGTCATGATACACAGTTGATTGCTTTTGTTTCACAGAACATTGTTATCTTCAAGTGAGGTTTATAACCCACAAAATACGACAAGACATAAGAAAACAGGGTAATAAAACTGGAGTGTAGGATTTAGTATTTAGAAGCTTCCTCAACTCCTGCCGGGCCAAAGGGATTTCTGTTCAGTTTTCTAGAAATTACATTTTCCTATTAAGGACCACACAGAGAGAAACCTCAATTCCAAATTTAGAACACATTAAAGCAGTGTTACAGTTCAGTGGCAGCAAAAGCTTTTAAGGACAAAAACCACACTGGAGGACAATTGATCAATATGTGACACTAAGTCACAGAACTGCAATGCTCATCCATACACTGCCAAGTATCACCGTATGCCCTTTATTTCAGGAGATGCTCAACTCCACATGCTCTGGCTCAGTGGGATCTCTTCCACTAGCACATTGCTCGCAAGGGGCCCACCACCCCATGAGACAAGTTAGCAAGTCACCTGGTTTGGAAAGTGAAACAAAGGGCTTCAGTGAAAGCACAGATTGGGACTAATAAATCCAGAGACCCGCTCTGCCTTCCTCAAAATGAGACTTCTAGCAGTAATATCAGAGGGTTTTCTTCAGTTTCTAGTGTGCCTGGTACATCTAGGGCTACCGTTGAACTTTTAGCTAGCAAGCCTTAGGGTTTGCACCAAGCAGCAGCACACTCTCCTTTTCTCTGAACATTACATGGATCAAGCAAGCAACATCTGACCACAAATGTACAACTGTGTTCCTCCGAGTAAAAAAAAATACCTAATCACTTGTTGGTTAAATGGACTAGTAGTGTCCACATACTCCATGCTTGAGCCAGTGTCAATCTATCACCTTATCTCCTGCCCACCTGTGGCATGCTCCCCTTGGAGCACTGCACACCACCCCCACCCCCCCCAAGTCCAAAGCCTCAAAGGACCCATGATGTTCAATTCACCAGGAAGCTGGTAACAGAGACTACTTCTCAGCCTGCACCTTCCCTGAAACCACACGCTGTGACCTCCTCCAGACCATGCCAGAGCAGCATAACCTTTATTTGCTGGAAGGGGTCTACGCTTTGCAGCAGTGAGGGGAGAGAAAGCAGGATGGACCTGATGAGACCAGACTGCGCAGCATGAAGACAGAGACCCCAGACAGCCCAACAGAAAAGGATCTCACAGGGAAACCAAGTGAGTCAACGGATTGGAGTTGCCAAAACCATGGAAATAAAAGAAGGGCAAAGAAAGATCTGTCCACTGGGGAAAGGAGGCAAAGAGGAAAACGCACAAGTCACTGAAGGTGCAGTACGCTTCCAGCAATATCTACCAAAAATTCTAGACAAAGTCTTTTGAATACTTCCCAAGCCCAGAAAGAGATTTCAGTTTCTGGTGAGGAACACTGGTTTTAGGAGCATGGGCACTGATTTTTCAGTGCTCCATTAAGGCAGCACAATGCACAAACTCATCCTCAGGGTTGACTTGCATTTACTCAACACAGAAACATACAATAGCTATGCCAGTCACTGAATTCCCAGGTTCTCTTAATGGAAGGATATTATGCCCACACCCAAACTTTATTTTCCACACATAGCTGGAGTGTGAAAAGGGATTACATAAAAGCAGTATTTCCTAACCAGCCAAGGAGAACCACCCACTATCCCTCCACCCACGTCAGAAAGGCATTTTTTTCCTGCTACAAGGAAGAACATACAAGGACTTTTTCCTGCTGTGGGCCCTGTTAACACCTCCAGGCAAGCAGGGAGAACAGAGTAGGACCTCTACAACTCCCACATCAGCATAATTGCTAAGAGCACGTGAACCACCCATTCTCTTCTAATTGTAATTCAAATAACATGGTGAAAGGAATGGGTTTTTTTCCAGCAATGACATTTGCACTGCAGAATCCTTAACTCAGATGTTGGAGGTAGAAACCTTTCAGAAACAGAACTCTGTGGGTGCATTGATAGACAAGAGAAAAAACAAAACAAAACAAAAACACGGCAAGAAGCATCTGTAGGCTGTCACCTGGCATACAGCAAGGCTGCCCAGGCTGAAAGGCATACCTCAAGATGCTGCAAGCCACTTCAGCCAACACCTGCAGACCACTCTAGAGAACCAGCTGCCTCTTCCCACCCATTGCTCAAGAGGTAGCACTGGTAACACCTGACAACAAATGTAGTAAGTTTTGTAATAAAGTACTATGTTTAGTGGAATAACTTCATTTGTAAAAGTGTGAGGAGGATGGATCACTGAGAGTGGCCTTTCCTATTTTTATATCAATGGCGCAAATTAGGTGATTGAAACAAACAAAGTAGTACACTACTACTACAGTCAAGTAAACCAAAATTCAGAATATATCAAAGCTCTAAGCAAGATTATTTTCAATTAAAGGTGCATATTCAAAACTCCTTTCTTGACCTAGGAAGTGCGCCTCCACTACAGCAAAGCTTCATCCAAAGATATAAAGAAAAGCTAAGTAAAGAAGTCTTCAGATTTTACAAATCACAACCAAAAAAAAAGAATCAGTAAGATGAACTACTCGATTACTATTTTCATCAGAAGACAGATTATTTTTCTTCATGAAATACAGAAGAATGAGACCTTGAAACGAACACTAAATCTCCAGGAGAAAACAGGCTTTCTCCAAATTTTCTCTGCCAAAAATCCCTAACGGAGCAGATTAGTAGCCTACCTTCAGCATTACAGTTAAGAGAAAGGCAGACCTCGTATTTGTGAATGGTATTATGTTATATTAGTATTATGGTTTGAGAAACCCTCAACAATTTATTGTTGTTTAGACAATTATTCTATCACCAGATGACCCCTCCCCACCCAGGAAGGGGAAATATCGAGGAACCACAAGGGTTGAAATATAAATAGATTTAATAGGATAAGACTAAATAATGAACATTAATAACACTAAAGAACCAATATTGATCCCAATACCAGTATAAAATATACAAGGATTTTACATAGCTAATTCTATCAGTAGGAAGCTGTGCACTCCCAGCAGTGGACAGCAAGTGTCAGACACTTCGAGTTCTGCAGCTTCAGGAGGAAGGGAAGGCTTCAGGGTTCCAGCACTGCAGCAAGAAATTCTCAGGATTGCAGCCATCAAGGAAGAGAGAACTTCTCAGCAAACTTTCTAATTTATATTGAATGTGATGTTCATGGTATGAAATAACCCTGTTGGGCAGCGTGGGTCAAGTGCCTGGGTCTCGCTCCTCCTCAACCTGCCTAGCTCAAAAGCACTGAGACCCACACACCATAGCTGGCTATACAGTAAGTATTTTCACAAATTCAGACACTAGAGTCTTCTAAAAGTGCAGTTTTCCCAAGCATTAGAAGATAAATTAATCCTGTGTCCCTCAAACCAGGACAATTAGTTACTGAAGTAGTCCAATCAATGGCTTTTAAAGAGAACTTTATAGACAAATTCAACCTTGCCCAGGTGATCTTATAGCA